TGGGGGTGGGTAGGAGAGTTTAGATTTATTTTGCTGGAAACTTGATCTGGACGTTTATACGTTTTAATTAATGGAGGCAAAAATTGTATTGTAAAAAATGTACATATATATGTATTTATATGTGTGTGGGCATGTATACATGCATCTGTGTGTGTGTATACACAATAACAGAATATTGCAGTTTAAAGTGCCAGAAATTTAAATGCAACTTTAAGGAACTTACCCTTAAGAATTAACTTGAAGGGCGAAGGAAGATTTTCTTAGCACAGCTTGAATAGATCTAATTGCATTTAAGACATAGATGTGTCACAAATGATCAGTAGTGCATCGAGTTTTTACAAATCATGGTCAAGGCTTGTATTTTGATGTGGTTATCACCTTGGCTTTTAGTTTCGAGAGGATCCAATGATTTACTGACCATCAGATTGTGCCTTTCCCTGGTGATGACTTTAGTTTGAGCTCGGCGGGGTAGGGCCCAAGGCCCCCCTCAGGGTTGGACGCCTCACCCATGGGCCCCTCGAGCTCTGTGTGCTGCGTGGTTGGTGGCCCTGTGTTGGGGGGGGATATCATTTTTAAAGTTCTCCTTCTTGTTTGTTGTGTTATAATTACCATGAGTCTTACTAAGGCTGCGGTGAACGGTGTCCATCCATGCTTGGTGCATAGGGCAGTGTTTCCCACACTCTGTTCCCCAGAATACTCCGAAGACCATAAGCGGCCAAGTAAGTTTGGAAAACCGCATTCCGTATGTTTTGCTTGAAGATTTACAGCAGGTATTAGTCTTTTCAAGACTGGGAAATTCCTGCAGGGAAAAACCGTTTAGCCTAACAGTTTCTAAATTTATTTGATCATATGACGCTTATTTCCAGTAACATTTATTAGTTCTCAGTTCTGTAGGAACACCTTGAGAAGCCCTGCCTCAGAATAAATTTGTAGAAGTGGAAGTGTTGGAACAAAGCATGTGATTGCTTAGATGGCTTCAGTACTAGACCCAATATTTGACAGTCATGGCTGGGAGCCCCATCCTTCACCATGTTCCGGGAAGGGTGCTCTGGGTCCAGGCTCACCTTGGACGCTGTCCTCCCACACCTGCCTCTGTTCAGTCCACTCCCAGCCCAATGTGTGCAGATGGAGCTGCAGAGGCCAGGGGCTGCAGGAAGTCAACAAGTGTCTGTTGTTGGGTTTATAAAGAAGGTGACTAGGTGGGTCGTGTTTCCTTCCTTGCTCAGCTCTTGGCTGGGTCTTTCATTCTGCGCATCCCGGCCCTGAAAACCCAGCACGGGCGGGTGGGGGGAGCAAACAGGGAGCCTGATTCGCCGTGACTTGACCCTGATCCACCCATACTCCTCCCTGCCACCAGGAGCTGCAAGTGCCAGAGCGGGGCAGGATGGGGCTGGGGAGCAGAGGAGGCCGAGGTGCCCACCACGAGGCAGAGCCCGCGGCTTGCTCACCTGCTCGCTGCCTGAGCTTGGACCAGCTGAGGCTGGAGCCTTTCTGGTCTGCATCCCATCTTGTGTCCTCTGGGTCTCTCCTCTCCGGCTCTAAGCCTGTTGAAGGCAGGACTGCTTATCTTTTTCTCTCAGTCCTGCCAGCACCTTGCACAGAGCTGAGTCCACAGGATGGGACCACCTCATTGTGCCCCGTCTGGGGGATGCTGTCCCATGGAGTGCCCTTGGGCCGTGCCTGGTGTGAATGAGTAACCTAAGTCACTCTGGCTGAAGTTACCTGCTACCAACCAAGCCCCCTAAGTGTGGCACAACATTAGAAATATTTGGGTATTGACAAGGTCAAACACTTTTTAAAGATACTGTAGTTTCTTCTCTACACTTTCATATCTGTGAATTCTTTTTTTTTTTTTTAAAGAGTTTATTTATTTGAGAAAGAGAGAGAGCACAAGCAGGGGGAGTGGGAGAGGGAGAAGCAGGTTTCCCACCAAGCAGGGAGCCCGATGCGGGGCTCAGTCCCAGGACCCTGGGATCATGACCTGAGCCGAAGGCAGATGCTTTACCGACTGAGCCACTCAGGCATCCTGACATCTGTGAATTCTTAATTAAGAATTACTAAAATTTTAAAACAAGAATTATTAAAAGCAAGGTCCCCAAGGACTATTTAAGAAGGATTTTTCTGAAACTGTTGTTCTATGTTGTGTGAATCAGTTATATTTTGTAGCAAAACTTTGGAGTCATGTATTAATCTGTTCCTTATTCCTAAGAGTGGTTGTTTTGTAACATTTCTCCTTATGGGCTGCAGAGAAACACCAAAGGTGATGGAACTTGCCTAAAATCTCAGGGGAGATTGTCAGGTAAAGCTGGACTCAGGACCCCTTTAGAGTAAGGGCAGTGTCCTTTGCCACCTGTTTGTCTTATTTCAATTTATTTGTGATGTCAACTGCCCCTTCCTTCCAAAAACTATTTAGGACAGATACAGAATCCATGTCAGAAACAAAATCATTTCTAAGTTCAGAATGCTTACCTATGAAGCTTGGTAGATTTGCTTCCTGTGAGGTCTGTGGGAATCCATGCGCTTCCCCCTCCCCAGGTACGGAGTCTGTTTCTGGGAGTCCCCCAGTGGCAGTGCATTACTGGACGTTGGAGGGAGGGCAGGAGTGTGTGTGTCTGGGGGGCTGTCCGGGGACCTCGAGGGTCCCCCGATCTCTGTTCTTTGCACCGTGCCCTGACTCTCTGTGTCCGCTGATCGTTGGGATCGCCTCTTTCAGCGTGTTTTAAATGAATGATTGCAAAGCTGTTCAAGAGGAGCAATATTTCTCAAGAGGTGGTCCTTGGACTAGCTGAATCAGAATCACCTGGGCCGGGGAATTTATTAACTTGCAGATTCCTGAGCCCCTCCCCAGACCCACGGGGTCGGCCTCTCTGAAGGAAATTGCACCTTTAGCAAGTTCCGCGGGTGACTCTTTTGTTTTTTTCTCTTTTAATTGAAATCTAATTGACACACAGTGGTGTTAAGAGTTTTAGGTGTACAACATAGTGATCGGACAAGTCTATACATTACTCAGTGCTCACCGTGACGAGTGCAGTCACCATACCACGTTATTATAATACTGAGTGTCTTCGCTAAGCTGTACCTCTCGTCTCTGTGACTTATTTATTCTATAACTGGGAGCCGGTACCTCTCAATCCCCTTCCCCTGTTCTGCCCAGCCCCGCACCCACCCCTCCTCTGGCCACCACTATTTCCCTGCATTTCAGAGTCTGTTTGTTTTGTTCTGTTTTCTCAGATTGCACGTCTATATGAAATCATACGGTAGTTGTCTTTCTCTGACTTATCTCACTCCGCATAATACCCCATATGTCCATCCATGTTGTCGCAAATGGCAAGATCTCATTCTTTTTTAAGACCAAGTAATAGTCCATTATATGTACATACCGTCGTCTTTATCCATTTATCTGTTAGGGGACGCTTAGGGTGCTTCCATATCTTGGCTGTTGGAAGTAAGGCTGCAGTGAACATAGGGGGTGCAGATATCTTTTCAAATTAGTGTTTTTGTTTTCTTTGGGTAAATACCCAGTGATGGAATTACCAGATCGTATGGTATTTCTTTTTTTATGTGTTTTGAAGGCTCTCCATACTGTTTTCCACAGTGGGCCTCATGCACATGTAAGTCTGAGAATTACCTACTGAGGGTCCTCAGATGAATGCCTTTTAGAAGGCTCCCAGAGGGAAATGGCTCCTCCTGTTGCATATGTATTCTGAGAACTGACCCATACAGTCCCCACGGAGGCTCCCTTGTGACATCTGCATCAGCACACTTAGCCATGTACTTGGGATCCGCTGAAGAATTTCCTGGGGTTACTTTCAGATATCCTTCTTGTACGGAATTTCTCACTGCATCTTCCTCAGGCAAGGGGGCAACAATATTTAACCCCTGGGTGGCCTCCGAGGTCCCAGAGCTGCCTGTTCTCTCCTCCCCTCCCCCAGGAACCATGCTCACCCTGTTCTCCCTTGTCTTTCACCCCGTCCAGCTCAGGCAATGTATCTGCCCCTTAGATATTTTCAGGGGCTGAGCATCCCCTGGGAGAAGCACCAAAGCAAAGAGAGCTGAGAAGCAGGAGAGCATGTGAGGGGTTGGTGGGGAGAGCCAGCAGGCCAGGCTGAGGCTGGGGGCGGGTTTAGGAACTCCATGCCGAGGGGCTTGTTGGGCAGCAGGGGATGCAGCTCCCGATGCCATCCACAGCAAGGGCATCGCCCTTCTCCCAGTGGTGCCCCTGCCCCATGGACACCAGGGATCCAGGAGAACAAAGGCATGAGCACATGGACCTTACCCCATCCCAGTTCCCCAGCCAGCCCCCCAACACCCCTGTGGGCACCTGCACTTGCCTCAGGAGCCCCCGTGTGCATGCGCCATGGGCCTAGTGGCCACGTCACAGTTGGGGCTGGAGCGTGAGCTGCTGCCTACCTGTTCTCCCGTCTTTGCCTTCTCAGAGGCTCTGCCAGGCCGGCCGCTGCACCCTGAGTGGACATGTTAGCAATGGTGCAGGACACAAAAGATGTGGAGAAATTCCAACATGTGACATTTCTCCTGTAGATAATAGTCGTCTGATGCTTCTATAGCCCGGAGACATTGAAAGTGGGCTGCAGAATTTGAGGCCTGGGTAGGTGGACACCTGACATTCAAACAACATGAATTTGGTGCCAGTGAAAATTCTAAGAAAGGGTGAGGGCAGACTGTTGATCTTTAAGGGAAGTACGGGTTCAAATACGAATCTTATAAGAGAAATACTTGGCAGTGGTAGACCAGTAATGCCTTTATTTTTTCCTTTTTTTTTTTAACCATTGTCATTTAAAAATATCTTTACTTTTGAAATTGTGTGGATAGCTTGGAAAATCTGTAGCTTAACAAACATCCTCACAAAGCAGACATCTCAGTTTCAGAACATGGGCCCTGGCACCTGGGTATAAAGTGAAAGAGGGTTTCCGAGCGATGATGTTGGTTTGTTGGTGACAGTATACTGTATCCCCAACCCCCATGTTGTTCTGTCATTGCAGGTGATTTTCAAAGCCAAGTCAAAATATTCTCCGGAATTACTCAAATACCGGTAAGTACCCGGGGGGTGGGGGGTGGGGCGGGATTTCCATCCTCATTTGGCAAATATATTTTTGACTATTTGGCACTCGGGTTAGGCATCCTGAGGCAGAAATGTAGTCTGTGTCCTTGAGGAGCAAACACTCTGTAAAGATGTCCTAAACAACACAACCACTCACGGAATGAGCAATCTCTGCCCTGGGCTGCTGTGTACTGTTGAGAGTCCCAGGAATTTTGTGGAAGAAGTCAGTCTGTGCTGGGCTGAAAGGAGAGGCTCATAATCTGGAAGGGAATGCCTTAAATCACATGCCAAGTTTATAAGAAGAGGTGGATAGGCATGTTTTTCCTGTGGAGAAGGTTCATAGATTTCCCCAGATTTTCAGATGTCTGTGACCCCAGCACCCTCGAGAGGAAAGAAACCAGTGGCTTAAAGGTTGGTCAGATTTGGTCAGAGGGGAAGGGGAGACAAGACATTCAGAAGACATGGGGCAGGTACACGTCATTCTGATGTCCCTGCCCAGCAGAGCTCCAATGGCATGGGCAGACATTTCTGGAAAGGCGATTTTGGCCCCTTACCTTCGTGAATCAAAATGAAAATTTGATTCTTTTGTGACTTTAAAAGTATGTAAACATGTATGCATATTGTATTTTTATTTAAATAAATAATTTTAAATTTATAAACATTTATTATTTAAAATTCTGAAAGCGTGGCGCCCGGGTGGCTCAGTCGGTTAAGCGACTGCCTTCAGCTCAGTTCATGATCCCGGGGTCCTGGAATCGAGCCCCGCATTGGGCTCCTTGCTCAGTGGGGAGCCTGCTTCTCCCTCTCCCTCTGCTTGCCGCTCCCCCTGCTTGTGCGTTCTCCCCCCTTCAAATAAATCTTTAAAAAAAATAAAATTCTGAAAGCGTATTTTTCTCCAGATGTGACCGAGATATAATGATATGTTAGTTTCAGGTATCCACAGAATGATTTGATATTGGTGTATATTGCAAAACGATCCCCTCAGTGAGTCTAGTTAACATCCATTATACCATACATGGTTACAAAAATTGTTGTTTCCCGTGATGAGAACTTTTAAGATCATGAAAATATATATTTTGATCTCCATTTGATATCCAAGGAAACTGAAATTTAGAAAGTAATATGACAGTACTCAGGCCAGGAGACAAGTCATGAGACTGATGGTGCCATGTTTGTTTTTCTCATCTGATCTTGAAGTCTTTGTTCCCTACTTTTTGGGTAGTTTGGTGCATGTTTCTACCAGACTGCTCAACTGGGACTTCAGGATCCACCAAGAAAAATGTTGGCCCTAAGGAGAACCCTTTAAAGGAGCAGCTCCAAGTACGCGATCCTCTCCCTTCTCTGGTAACAAAATAGCTGGCCTTTCCTCTGCACCCATATTCTCTGCCTCCAGCCTCTTGACTAGAAATGTAGATCAACCAGGGGGACTGGAGAGACAAGAATGGGTGAATATTGGGGAGGAGAAAGAATATTCTGATTGGATCATGGAGCTGGTCTTGTCTTGGAAGTGGTTGGTTGAGGCTGAGGTAATGAGGTATCTTCTAGAAGTGAAATACGAAAGCACTGGTCAGAAAGGAAGGCTGTTTCAAAAGTTTTCAGCCTCTGAGCCCTTGGGGGATGGGGTCTATTAGATGAGAAGTTGTGTGTGGGGGGCAGTGCTTGATCCTTGAACCAAAGTGCAGACACCAAGGTAGGCTGTTTTTAGCGGAGGGGATTTGCAGAGATGAAGGGAGAAGACCAGAAGAAATTCAGTTGGGTGAGATGTTTGGGCTGGAGAAGATAGAAGTTTCTCGAAGCCAGGAGGGTGAGGTACCAATGGGAGGAGCCTATTAACTCCGATGTAATAATGAAGAAATCCTCAGAGTTCATGTTTACGCCCATCTTCTGTCTTCTCTGTTCAATTCCCCACTTCTTTTAAGCCAGATGCTATGACAGACATTTCAGGCCATGATTTATCCCTTGAGATGCTTTGGTATGTTGGCTTTTAAATAGACTGGCTTCCCTAATTGAACCACAACTCATTTGAAAAGAAACACAAACCATCAGTCTAGAACTAGTTGAAACTTCTCACCCCAAGCTCCTCCTATAGCTGCTCCATGTTTTTGAAGATAATCATCTTCAAAATTATATTCAGCCCAACCAAGAACCACTTCATTTTCCACTGAAGTGCCCCCCATTTCCCTGACACACCCGTGAGCTCTCAGCTCTGCTGGAGTTGGTGCCCATTTGATTCAGTTTTTCTCTTTCTCAGCCTATGTTTTTCAATCTTTGGCTTAGGAAGTGTGAATACTGGGCAGGGGGAGCTCAAGAACACTGATTTTAAGCATTTTTAACTATTTTCCCCTCCATCTTTGATTTTTTTGGTGAGTAAAAAGCATAATGAACCGGGCTTTGCTTTTCCGTTCTGGAAGGAATCTAAGATTTCAGAAGAGAAATTAAAACAACGCTTTACAAGCCATTAATACTATCCCCTCACCGTGGGAGGTAGCAGAGTTCTTCTGTGTCAAATTAGCTGGCAGCCCGCGAGTCTGGCACTTTTGTCCCCAGCCCCGAGTGGTCAGCTGCCTCAGAGACTCATCTCTGCACTTGCCGATCCTTCTGGGCTCACAAGCAAAGTCATCTTCCCAGATGCAGGGTCCCACCGATTTCCTTTTCCTTTGGTCTTTTTTTCTCATTATAAACTGTTTATCCTGACCCTATGGTTTGAGCTGAGAAGAAGTAATTCTGGGGCAGGGTGTAAAACACTGTTGCCATGGAAACGCACCCTTGCGAGATGATCTGTTCTGCACCGCCCCCCCCTCCCCTCCCGCCCGCTCGCTCTCCACACCTCCAAATCTCTCTCTTTCAGAGCTGCAGGCCCAGGGGGAAAAGTTAAGTTTTGCAAGGTGTTTTTTTTTTTTTTTTCATTATAAAAGTTATATAAGCTTATTAGAAAAAATTATAAAGTAGAAAAAGATTGGAAGTTTGTGAATATAGACATGTGGAAAGAAAGAAACTAAATCTAGTGAACTCGCCCCTCCTGCCCCGCAGAAACCTCCTCCAACTCTGAGGAGACACAGTGATGTTTTCCATTGTAGGTTTTCGTATACATTTCCCAGAACAGAGTTGTTCTGCCACATTTGATTTTGCTTTCTGACTTTGACCTTAATGTTGGATTACAAGTACTTTGGCCATGTTGTTTCAAGTCTCACAACACAGCCGATTGCTTTAAGACAATACCAGGCAGTTCAGCTTAGGTCGTGATCCCGGGGTCCTGGGATTGAGCCCCACGTCGTCGTCAGGCTCCCTGCTCAGCGGGGAACCTGCTTCTTTTCCCTCTCTCTCTGCCTTTCCCCCTGCTGTTGTGTGTGTGCGCACACTCCCTCTTTCAAATAAATAAAATCTTAAAAATACTGGACAGAATTCTGTTTAACAGGTGGTCCTAGAGGCTTGCAGAGCAGGATGAGATCGAAATGGAGGGGCAGGAAGGTTTTAGGCAGAAAGATCAGCTTGTGTAAAGACGGGGGGTGGGGACACAGGGTGGGATTCAGGCCAGCACATAGACTGGCTTAATTAGCACGTGGGGCGCCCATCGACTAACCTGGCTCCGTACACTGATTGGAAGTATAAGGGATTGGAGGGTGCCAGGGTGGGGTTGAGGGTGGAGGTCAGTCTGGACACCATCACATTGGTTTTAGGCAGAAGCATGAGGCCCTGTGGTTGGTGACGATGGGAAAGGGGGGCTCACAGCTAGGGGAGTAGGAATAAAGAATCTGTTGAACTTGACAACTGATTAAACTGGGGGTGCGATCAAAGAAGATCTTTATAGTTTAGGAGTCTACAAAAAATTGTGGTGCCTTTCAGAGATATAGGAAAACCAAGAGGAGTGCTGGAGGGGGAACATCGGGAGTTAGGCTTGGACATGGTCTGAGGTGGCAGGGCCTCCGTGGCAGGCTGTTTGGAACGTGAGTCTGGATGTAGGACAGGGCGACGGCTCTAGATGAGCTTCGTGAACTTAGGCGTCCGAGGCTGTAACTGAACCCACAAGAGTAAACGTATTTCCCAGGGGGTAGAGGAGAGAGCCAAGGGCGTTGTCACTTTGGGGGAGGAAGAGGAACCAGGGGCAAGCTCAGACAGAGGAACGGGGTGCAGGTGCAGGGCTGTGGAGCGATGGACAAGGGAGCTCCAGGAAGGCGGGCAAAGATGGCTGCCAAGAGTTGACCCCTTTCCGTTTTGGAGTAGGTCATGGGGGCCTGGGAGAACGTGGGGTCAGCAGGGGAGTACCTGTGGAGGAAGGAAGGATGGGATGGGGTGAAGACTTTGTAGAAGTTGCTGTTGACAAAAGGGGAAGCGGGGGTGAGACCTCGAGGCTCCGTGGGGTGAGGATAGAGGAGTGACAGGAAGGCATAGGACCCACTGGATTCTCATGGCTGCTCTTTGAGGCAGGATGAGAGTCCTCATCTCTCTTTTATGGATAAGGACACGCAGCCCAGAGTAGCCGAGAGACTGGCCTGATGCCTCGGCTCTGTGTGTCTCTGGGTCACAGTGGGCAGATGAGGGCAGGTGGGGAGGAGAAGGAAGGAGGGTGGGATGGAGGCTTGGAGCCACATCATACTAGCTGTCGTGGGTGCCACACGGTTGGTGTCGAGTTATGCCTGGCTTCCTCACCCTTTACTTACACATTCTCTTTCTCCCTGTCTACCCCCTCCATGGGTCCTGTCCGTGATGACGTCTGGAGCTGGGATTATCATCCAGGATTCTTTTTTTTTTTTTTTTTTAAGATTTTTATTTGAGAGAGAAAAGGAGAGAGAAAGCACAAGCCCGGGGTGGGGGGCAGAGGAAGAGGGAGAAGCAGGCTTCCCACGGAGCAGAGAGCCCGATGCAGGGCTCGATCCCAGGACCCTGGGATCGTGACCTGAGCCGAAGGCAGACACTTAACTGACTGAGCCACCCAGGCGCCCTTTATGCAGGTTTCTGTATCCCGGTCTGTTACAGCTTTGGAAGACACTCTCTAGCTTCGAAACCACTTATAGATGAGAATTTGGATTTAAAATGTAGTCAACTTAGACCCAGGCTATTTTTGAGCCAAGCTAATCTGTTCCTTATTCGCATGTTTATTGAAGGAAGTAAACAATATGGACAGTCCTGAAGAGAAGCTTGAGGCTGCTGACTTTGGTTTCAGTCAGTCTGAGAAGTCTTTCTATAGACCTTGCACCAGTCACTAAAGAAGTGTGTGGGTCCGGGAATCTACAGGTTAAAAATGGCCAGGGACCCGGCCAGCTTGCCTCCGTTCCGCCTTGGGCAAGGGGCTGTGGCAGATCTGCACCACCTCCCGGAGACAGGACAAGCGAGGCGCGGAGGGCACCTTCCTGAGGGTACCATTTGTAGCTGATTTGTCATCTGAATCTGAGAATGGCTACCCCCAAAATCTGCAGTCTTGGGTGTTAACTGTGGCATGTTCTGCTTCTAGCAGTTAGCCAAAATAATACCGCATTTTCCTTCTGGATTGATCCAGAACGTACAGCCAGCCTGCAGGGCGCGGTGCCTTACATTTCCCTCTGGTCCTTTCCAGGTTACCCCTCTACCTGGCCTCGCTCTTCATCAGCCTCGTGTTCCTGTTGGTGAATGTAACCTGCGCGGTGCTGGTGAAGACAGGAAACTGGGAGAGGGAGGTCATTGTCTCTGTGCGCGTGGCCATTAACGACACCCTCTTTGTGCTGTGTGCCGTTTCTCTCTCCATCTGTCTCTACAAAATCTCCAAGATGTCCTTAGCCAACATTTACTTGGAGTCAAAGGTAGGTGGGAATGTAGTCAAGAGCCCTTGGTTAAACTGACTCTAAAAATAGTTTTCTGGTTGCCAATAGAACTCAGCAAATACCTTTCATACCTGACCCCCCACAAATGATTGGCCGTACTCTGGTTGCCCAAACACAGAGCTATGTAGTTTGTTGAACTTTGCACGCAAGAAGACTTCCTTCGAGGTGGCTGCAAGTGTATTGGAGTGTGCAGAATTACCGGCAGGGAGGTAATCTCCGGTTTATAGATACAGTGTTTAGCCAACATTTTAAAGGACTCGCAGGATTGCTTGTGCTGATGATACTAGCAGAAACACACACCTAGCATGCTCTGTGTTCCAGGCACTTTGAGATGAGCATTCGGCAGGCGTAAGCTCATGGAGTCCTCCCAGATCTCCGGGAGTAGGTATCCTCCCCACTGTATAGACTGGGAGACCGGGGCACAGCTTGCCCTGGGTTGCCCTCCGCAGCAACTTCGGACTGGGCAGTCTGGCCGCGGGCTCTGTCAGATTCGGATGGAGGTTCACCTCGGCACTGACGAGCCCTTGACAGGACAGTGGACACTGCCCCCTGGAGTTCAGGACAGCAATCATCTCGTGCTGATGGGTCAAAGTTGGAGCCAGACGGGATGGGAGGCAAGTTTGGTTTGCTGCTATGCCGCACACCCTAGAATCTCTGTTCTCTCTGCCCTTCCCCGGAGTTATAGGGAAGGGCAGGCACGCTTGTGGGCCCCAGCTCGGCCTCATCCCAAGCCTCCCTTGGTTTGGAAGCCCAGGGAAGTGTGGAGGCCGGGGAGGGGGCCTTGGTTTTCTCACTTGTGCAACGATAGGGTGATTTCTGTAACTCCTCTGCTTGTAACCTTCTGGAACCGTGTCCTTTGGTGGATCCCCCTGACTGGCGGACACCCACCCCGCCGCCGTCTGCCTTATTTGCCACTCGGCCCACCTGGCTGTAATCAGTCTTCCGTCTGAAGACCGTGAGGAGCTCCGTCTCCCACGATATCGTGTCTGGATCGATACTGGAATTCCAATGCTTCCAGCCTAGAAGATTCTGGAATTTGAGGAAGCGCTCCCTTCCCCGGGGCCACAGTCTGCGGGACCCCGCTCTCCCAGGCGCCATCCTGCTGGGCTCGATTGTCCCCAGGCCAGAGGCTGGGCAGTGGGTTCCTAAGTCGGGGGGTCATCTTGGAGGTTGAATAACATAAGCCACCTGACTTTCTCATTCTTACAGACCTGGGCTTTAGGCAAATGGCCCATATTTTGAGGCATCTCCAAATCAACTCCCAGATTTTGAAGCGTCTATATGAAGATCATTCGACATTTGAGGAGGGGCTGGCTGTGGGATGCGGTGAGGCTTGGGTGTGGGTTTATGGGCTCTGAACCCAGGCCGGGTTCTGGGACGAGGCTGATGTCTTGGACCCGGAATGGGTGTGCCCCTCATGGCTCCCTGTTTTCCAGGGCTCCTCTGTGTGTCAAGTGACAGCTGTTGGAGTGACCGTCATCCTGCTTTACACCTCCAGAGCCTGCTACAACCTGTTCATCCTGTCATTCTCCCAGAGCAAGAATGTCCATTCCTTTGATTACGACTGGTACAACGTATCAGACCAGGTGAGTGGGCGCCCTGAGCGGCGACTCTTTGCTTCGAAGCACCCCATGTGACCGAGAGGTATTAGCTCCTCGCTTCTGCTCAATTGTTGGGTGACCTTGACCATCACTTACCTGTTGGTATCTGCATCCTCACCTGTCAGATGGGATCATAGTACCTGCCTTGTTCCAGTTCACGTGTTCTGAGAGAACTAGCGTCTAGGTGTACATGTGCGCGTGCACACGTACTTCTAGTTTCTGGGGCTCTTGACAAGCAGTACTTAGAAAGTTTTTAAGTGTTTCCATATAAATGTAAGATGGCTTTATTAAAGAGTGAAATTTGCCAAGGTAAAACAGATTGTATGCAGGTTTCAGAAAATACATAAAGCTGTGGCTTTTATTTATTTAAAGATTTTATTTGTCAGCGAGAGAGAGAGATCACAAGGGGAGGGGAGAAGCAGAGGGAGAAACAGACTCCCCCGCTGGGCAGGGAGCCGGACCCGGCACTCAATCCCAGGACCCCGTGACCATGACCTGAGCTGAAGGCAGACGCTTCACCAGCTGAGCCACCCAGATGCCCCTAAAACTGTGGCTTTTTTAAAATGGAGCATGGAGACAGCATTTGAGGAAATTGAGACAAAAATGACCAGGGGATGAAGGTGTTGGTAAAAGCTCATTTTACCAACAGTCTCCCTATGATATTCTCTCCCATTTAATATATTCTAGAAACTCATGAATTATCAATTACAAAGCAGTGAACAAAGGTAGTGACATACCATCTGGCATTCTTGTTCCCAAAAGCTGAAAATAAAAAAGAATGAGGTGACATCCCTTCAGTTGAGAACAGTGATTCTCTGTCACGCTGGACCGAGGGCTGGGGGGACAAACACACACGGGCTGCCCCCCTGCCCACAGAGGAGCTTATGTCCTCTGAGGAAAACACACACGCAAGTAAGCCATTACGATAAACAGAACTTCTGTTTTATAATAGGCGTCTACTGGATTGAATTGCAAAAAGCTCCTTAACTTTTCCTGGAAAAGTGCTGAATGTCAACTATATACAAATGCACTTCTAAAATCCCAGCAGTGATCACCCCCTGGACCGGATTCACACTCTAGAAGAAGGCATTAAGTGACCCCGATAAACATGTGAGGACAAGGTGAAATTCAGAAGAGGCACGGGGAAGGTGTTAGAGTTAGGAAGGATTAAAACCACCACCACCACCACCACCACCACCCAAACCGATCCCACCCGTACAGGATGGGAGAAATTCGGGCAAGGCACTGCCGAAGGTGGTGTGCCCTGTTTTGAGAAAATCAAATATATAAAAATCAAAACTTGAAACAAATTAGAGACTTATTCATAAGACCCAAAGGATTTCATTGCAGTAAAATATCCATCACAGCTACTGTCGTAACCACTTTCAAGCATACGGTCCCCTTGCTGGGCAGCCGTCACCGCCGGCCGTCTCCAGAATGTGCTCATCTTCCCAAACTGAAGCTCCTCCGTACCCATCAACCAAGAGAGGTTAGGTTTTAACAAAATAATTATTTCAGTGTTTCTTTCAGCTGAGGGCTTATAATGATAACACATTTAGAATAACACAATTTTTAAAATTTTGTTTTTAGCGGGCGATATTTATTTATGACTATCTAGACCTGTGTGTTGCAACCAAAATAACCTAGGAGCAAACCTAACAGGCAGCCACGAGCAGCACATTGTCCGTGTAGAAGCAAAGAAGGGCAGCGTGCTGCCGGGCTGAGTTAGAGATGGGGTGCGAGGTGCGGAGTTGGCGAGGCAGCGTCTGGAGCAGCCTGATCAGCTCTGGCTACTGCCCTGCAAACACGATGCTCTAGAGAAGGCAAAAGGACTCCGTTGAGGTGATCGGCCCTTCACGGCTTCGTTTTTCGTGCACTTTGTTCGAAATGCTGCCCTTTGTGGGGGAGCTGCCCAGACGCGACCGTGCACCTGCGCCCTGAGCCCCGGGCCCTGCAGGAGAGGGACAGACGACACACAAGGCCCATTTGGCCATCCCGCTGGTCCAGACAAACACCCTGGGCTCTGAACAGCTTTTTTTCCGGATGCTCTCGCCTGCAACAGGCTTTAAAGGATAAAGAATAGGATGTGGGGAATGGGAAGAGAAGTTTAAAAATTGATGTGTTTATCCCAGGGATGAGACAGAGGGTGACGGTTGTATGCTGTTCTCAAAAATTTGGGAGGGAGTGACCTAACATCTCCTTATTTGATTGTTGAAGGAAAGAAAATCAACTTAAATTTGAGAGACTTAACTTGGATCTAAGGAAGGTTTTGGAGGGTGAAGTAATAAACATCAGAGATTGGCAGTTCCTGTTTGAAGATGAGAATTATCTGCCCTGTGTGGTTGGAAAAACTCCCCTCCTGAGGTCCTGACCATGAGTATTACCTGATTTCAACATGCATGTTGTAGGGGAGAGGAATCACACCGTATTAGAATTAGTCTCTGTTCACATTAGGAAGAATCACAGCAAAACTTCTTCCCTCCGCTCTCAGCCTGCTGACTCCAGGTCCTCCCCTTGCTTCTCAACAGGCGGATCTGAAGAATCAGCTGGGAGATGCTGGATACGTGGTATTTGGAGTGGTCCTTTTTGTGTGGGAGCTCTTACCCACCACCTTAGTCGTTTACTTCTTCCGAGTTAGAAACCCTACAAAGGACCTTGTAAGTAAACCATCTTTTTTTTTTTTTTTTTAAGATTTTATTTATTTGACAGAGACACAGCGAGAGAGGGAACACAAGCAGGGGGAGTGGGAGAAGGAGAAGCAGGCTTCCCGTTGAGCAGGGAGCCCGATGCGGGGCTCGATCCCATCATGACCTGAGCCGAAGGCAGACGCTTAACGACTGAGCCACCCAGGCGCCCAGTAAGCCATCTTCTAGTAGCAGGAAATATCTCCTGCTTCTAATCACAAAGCATGCAATCTGGTTTTGTCCTTAGATTTTTCAGGAGCGTGCCTCTTCCATCCTGTTGTGATGTAAAAAGTTCCCTTGTCTGTCTGAGATGGTCTTTTGCCTTAACTCTTTTTGAGAGAAATTCATTTTTTTTCAGCTTAGCTTTTCCAGAAGAAATGAAAGTTGCATCTCAAGGCCTGGAGATAGTGATTATTTTTCCTAACGCAACAACAGTCTCCCTGGTATCTGAGCCTTGACTTGGGGCGAACTAAATATATAAGCTTTTATTTTAGCAAAGGAAAATAGAAAATGGTACTCGAGTTCTTCATCCCTGTGTTATGCTAGATGGTGAGTTGGGAACTCGGTGATATGGAAATAAAAACATCATGAAGGATGCTAACCCCACTCCCCTGGTTCGGTCCTGTGTCTGCTCAGCCAGCTTTGCATAAGTGTGTCTATGAGGACAGGGCAGAAAATGCACAACTTGCGAGAATGAGGAAACTCCTGGGAGCTTCTGCTCCATAAATTTTTCCAGCCACGTTAACGAGTGGTAGCATTTTGAGTCACTGATCTATGAAACCCACGGAAAAAGTGTAGTGAATGGTTTTTGGCCAGTGCGAGCCAAGTGTGGGTAGGCAGGAAGGAAAGCAGATATAGTTACCAATCCGTTGTGTTCTACTCTGTTTCTTTTTCTTTTTTTTTTTTTAAAGATTTATTTGAGAGAGAATGCTAGCGGCAGGGAGGCGCAGAGGGAGGGAGAGAATTTCAAGCACACCCCCCACTGAGTGTGGAGCCCTGTGACCCTGAGATCATGACCTGAGCCGGTATCAAGAGTCGGCCACGTAACCGACTGAGCCATCCAGGCTCCCCTACCCTGTTTTTTTCTTACTCATCTCTGGATAGTCACCGATGAGCCAGAAACGGAAAAAAAGCGAGCCTGGCCTGGGGCGGGTGGGGCAGCACAGCCTGACTGGGGCCCTTGCAGAGAAGGCAATGGGTAGCGTTTTCTAGACCTTGGGATCTGTTTCCTCCCCTTCCATTATTTTTAGCTGCAGGACCATGGCCCTGCACTTCATCTGACCTTTACTTGCTTTGGGAACAGCTGGAGGCATCTGTAAAATCAGATCCTAAACACTTCAGGCTCCCTGGCGCAGAAATGGGACAGGTAGGCAGTGGATTCTAGGCCGAGACCAGTTGCCTTGTTTTCCTTCCTCCCCTGAAGATTTTTGGGCACCTTGCTTGCCTAGGGGATTGTGAGGGGTCGCTAAAGCAGACTCCCAGAGCTCGTGGAGGCCTCCCCCAGGCTCTGCCTGTACCTTTTCATCAGCTCAAGTTTCAGAGCCTTCAGAACTGGGCTCCCGAAACTCAAGGCAGCCTGAAGGAGAGTAGATTTCCGAATTTAACGAGAGGGAAGCTAACGTGATAGTGTTCAAAGTACGGTTTTACTAAATGAATACAGAATAATGTGTACTCTCAGATCTCATTATCCAGGGACACCTGTCCTCAACACACTCTGTATGGATGGAGTTACTTAGTTATTGTGCTTGAATAGATCTGCTATTTGGAGTATTATCTAGAGCAGTGATTCTTAAACATTTTGGTCTCAGGATACCTTACACTGATTAATATTTTGTACTGAGCTGTAATTGACATATTAGTTTCAGGTGTATAACGTAGTGATTGGATATCTGTAGATAGTACAAAATGACCCTAGTGAGTCTGGTTGCCATCCATCACTACACAGTTACGGTTTTTTTTCTTGTAACTTTCAAGGTCCACTCTAACTACCTTGAAATATGTGGCACACTATTATTAACTATAGTCAACATGCTGTACATGACATCCCCAGGACACAGTCATTTTATAACTGGAAACTTGGATCTTTTGACCCCTTGCGCCATTTCGCCCACTCCCCATTCCGCACCTCCACCCCTTTGTTCTCTATACCTGTGCTGGGGTTTTCTCTGCTCTTCGATTCCACATAAGCGAGATCATACGGTATTTATCTTGCTCTGTCTGACTTATTTCACTTTGCATAATGTCCTCAAGGTTTATCCATGGGGTTGCAAATGGCAGGATTTGGGTGGCGATTTTTTTGGTAGTTGAGTAATATTCCATTATAGATGTATTTTCTCTATCCTTTCATCCGTCTATGAGCTTTTAGGTTGTTTCCATGTCTTGGCTCTTGTAAATAATGCTGCAGTGAACATGAGGGTGCAGGTATCTTGTCAAACTAATGCTTTCATTTTCTTCAGAGAAATATGCAGAAGTGGAATTGCTGGGTCATAGGGTAGTTCTATTTTTACTTTTTTGAGGAACTCCCATACTGTTTTCCACAGTGGCTGCACCCATTTACGTTCCCACCAGCAGTGAGTGCACGAGGGTTCCCTTTTCTGCACATCCTTGCCAATACTTGTTTCCTGTCTTGATTTTAGCCATTCTGACAGGTGTGTGGTGATAGCTCATTGTAGTTTTAATTTGTATTTCCCTGATGATGAGTGATGTTGAGCATCTTTTCATGTACCTGTTGGCCGTCTGTAGGTCTTTGGGAAAATGTTCAGGTCCTTTGCCTATTTTTTATTTATTTATTAATTTTTTTATTATGTTAATCACCATACATTACATTAGTTTTTGATGTAGTGTTCCATGATTCATTGTTTGCGTATAACACCCAGTGCTCCATGCAGAACGTGCCCTCTTTAATACCCATCACCGGGCTACTCCATCCCCCACCCCCCTCCCCTCTAGAACCCTCAGTTTGTTTCTCAGAGTTGATAGTCTCTCATGGTTCGTCTCCCCCTCCAATATCCCCCCCTTCATTCTTCTCCTCCTGCTATCTTCATCTTCTTCTTCTTTTTTTTTTTTTAACATATAATGTATTATTTGCTTCAGAGGTACAGGTCTGTGATTCAACAGTGTTACACAATTCACAGCACTCACCATAGCACATACCCTCCCCAGTGTCCATCACCCAGCCACCCCATCACTCCCACACCCCACCACTCCAGCAACCTTTTGCTGTCAAGTTGTAGGAGTTCTTCATATGTTTTGGGTATTGACCCTTTATCAGATATATGATTTGCAAACATCTATTCAGTTGGTTGCCTTTTCATTTTGTTTATGGTTTCCTTTGCTGTGTGGAAGCTTTTTCGTTTGATGTGGCTTCACTTGGCTTACCACCTGTGTTTTCTTTTAGGAGTTTTATGGTTTCAGTTCTTACATTCAAGTATTTAATCCTTGTTGAGTTAATTTTTATGTGTGCTATAAGATAGTGGCCCAATTTCATTCTTTTCCATGTGGCTGTCCAGTTTTCCCAACACTGTTTATTGAAAAGACTGTCATTTTCCCCATTATGTATTCATGGCTACTTTGTTGTAAAGTACTTGACCATGTCAGTGTGGGTTTCTTTCTGGGTGCTCTCTTCTCCATTGATCTCTGTGTCTGTTTTTATGCCAGTATCATACTGTTTGGATTACTGTAGCTTTGTAATATCATTTGAAAGCAGGGAGCATGATGCCTCCAGCTTTGTTCTTTTACAAGATTCTTTGACTCTTCGGGGTTACCCTGATAAATTATTGAGGACCTGCAAAAGCTCTTATTTGGAGGTGTGTGTGTATGTGTGTCTAAAATTTTAAAAAATATTCACTATAAATAAGCCCATTACATGTTACCATAATTTTTTTTTTTCTGAGAAAAGAACATTTTCCAAAACAAAATAGGAGAGTAGGATTGTTTCAAAATTTTCAGATTTTTTGTATCTGGTTTAATAGAAGACATCTGGGTTCTGTCTACTTCTGCATTCAATCTGTTGTGATACATTGTTGTGGTTGAGTATGTAAAGAAAACCCAGCCTCACAGAAATAGAAAGTGCAGTAATTTAATACCTTTTAACATAATTGTGGATATTTTTCTTTGATATGCATCAAAAGTGAACAAGTTGTGGTTTCTTAAAAGTCTAAATCTAAAACCATACCAATAAACTCCTCAGATTGTCAAACATTAACATTCATCAGTTTATCTTGCACTTTGAATGTATCTTTTACCCACACACAACTTTTATATTGGTCACTTGGAAAATATTGGTTTACTGAGTTATGCAGATCTTCCGAATGCTAAAATTCACTTATTAAATATCACCACTGATCATTTCAGGAAAATCTTTTAAGTACTGGGATGCCATCAAGCTCATGGTGGGAGAATACCAGTTTTCCAAAGCTTTCATTTTTGCTTTAAAAAAGCTCAAATTTGATCAATGACAAATACTGTCCACCTGTCTGACAGTTCAATTACTTTCAAGGCAAGGTCTGCCAAACACCCATGTCCGAAAAAGCATGGTTTGTCTGAGTTGTAAAGTTGCATGAGAAAAGGTAGCTACAACTCAAACGGCTGTACGGGGTCTCTCCCTAAAAACAAGCTTTCTCACAACAGACGTGCTGTATGCTTACTTCCCATTTTGTCATCTAACATATTAAAAAGACAGGCCCAAGGACCAAGATTTAATAAAACTAATAACTTGGATTGCTTTGTCACAGGCGTTTTTTTTTTTTTTTAAACACTTATTTATTTTTGAGAAAGAGTGAGCGAGCGAGAGTAAGCAGGTGGTGGGCAGGGGCAGAGGGAGAAGGAGAGTCCAAGCAGACTCCCCGCTGAGCGTGGAGCCCGATGTGGGGCTCGATCTCATGACCCTGAGATCACGACCTGAGCTGAAACCAAGTCAGGTGCTTAAGTGACGGCACCACCCGGGCGCCCCTGTCCGAAGGCAGACGCTTAAC